AAGACTGGCAGAGGTTTGATGGGACCTCTGGGTCCATCTGGCACAACTCATGCCCCCGCATGGACAGCCAGAGCAACTTGTCCAGGGCCATGGCCATGTGGATTTTGAAGATCATCAACGAGACCTCACAGCCTCTCAGCAGCCTGTGCCACTGCTTCATCACCCACACAGCACAGAAGTACTTCCTCATGTTTAGATGGAATTTCCTGTGTTCCCATTCGTGCCCACGGCATCCTGTCCTGGTACTGGGCAGCTATGAGAAGAGCCTGGCTCCATCCTCTTTGCATCCTTCCCTCAGTTACTGTAGACACTGATGAGATTCCACCATGTCTTTTCTTCTCTAGATTAGACATCTCTGCATATCAGTGTCCGCACTATGAAGTCTTCTGCCACATTTCCCCAACATTTAAAAACTCTGCACACGCACTACCAATCCTATCTGACTTCAGGAATAAGGGAGACAAGGCTGCTATGCAGAATAGTCAGTTGAATGGCATTCTCTTGATAAAGTGGCAGCTTTGCTACCCAGTAAAGTGGGCAAAAAATATTCTGTCCTTCATTTCAAACACCTGCACCATCACAAGAACAGATTCCACTTTCCAGCAGTCAACATCTCAATTCAGTATTGAGTGAAACAATGCTAGAGGATACTGCTGGCAACCAAATTTGTCAAAATATCTTAAGAGTTCCCTCTGCCTTCTTCAGGCTCTTTCATTTGACTGACAAATTGAGGATCGTAGGTTTGAACCTAGTTCCCTGCTGTCAAACACAATGCAGTACGTTAGACCTGGCAAAATTCTATGTCTTGTTCACAGGCATATCCATCAGAGTCCAGAATATTTCACTTTGAATAGCTTGTTTTGCTTTTTAAAGTTTCATGATCATTATTTTTTCCTGTAATATAAATGGAATCAATCCCTGATTTCTTGCTCTGTTATCTATACATTTTAAAGCAATCAAACAAACAAAAATCCAGGAGTAAACTATCAATTATCTTTTGTTAGCCTGGTGACTAATAAAGAAATCTGTGAGCTTTGACACCTCTAATGACAGATTATTACTTACATTCCTGTCCTTTATAACATTAAGAGTCAAATCAGAATCTGGAGACCTGTTATTAACTCTGCAAAAATACTTTTTTCACCCATGGAGTGCTTGATCCAAATTGAATCTGTGAGGGTTTTTTTGACATCTGTAAATGTCTTATCATTACTGTTTCTTGCACATTCAGACCCCTAACTGCAGTTTTTATGGTACCTCAGTGAACTGAACTGCTTCCTGGAAGGCCCTTCTCATTGGTACTCGGACTCCTTTCTACTTCCAAGTCTGAACTCAAAGAAAAGAAGGCACATCAGGTCTTTGTTGTTAACTGATGACCTCATTCACAGTGTAGAAGTGATTTGGTGGGGGCAGAGGCAGCCCTGCTCTCCCCACATAGCCAGCACAGCCTACAGCAAAGGAGCTGAAAACAGCCCATGGTTTGGCAAGTCAGCGTAGGAACACAGGGAGAACCAGCTCTGTGAGACTCAG